AATGTTCTAAGCATGCTTTAAACATGCATTTTACATGTCTAAAACATGCTCAGCGCATGTTCTAAAACATGCTCAACGCATGTTCTAGACATCTGGAAGTCATTTTGCAACACGCTTCCTCTCCACCAATCGCCTTCCACAACGAGAAGGATGCAGGCACTCTGCGAGCGGGGCGCGGCCAGCGCAAGCGGCCGAGGACGGGCCGAAGGGCAAGGATGCCGGGGCAACCTTGCAGAGTCGATCGTCCTTGCCCTACGGATCGAGGGTACACTGTGTGTTCTTCTCCGCCTGGACTCGGGGGCGGGATGCCGAGTACCGGGTTCACGGGCTCCTCTCTTGGCGCGGGCGGCCGCTGGGGCGGGCGTCTGCCGCGCGCCTCTCCCTCCCGCCTGGTGCGGGGTCGTCTCCTCCGAGTGGCGCCGGCGCTGGCCCGCGTCGGCGGCCCGGTGGCGCCTCGGCGCCAGCACCGCGTCGAGGTTACTGCCCGCTGCAGGCGCGGTCGCTCGGAGGGAGACTGCGTAGAATCCTCCTCCTCCTCCTCCTCCTCCTCCTCCTCCTCCTCCTCCTCCTCCTCCTCCTCCCCTCCCCCTCCTCCCCCCCTCCCCCCCCCTCCCCCTCCTCCTCCCCCTCTACCCCTCCTCCCCCTCCCCCCCCCTCCCCCTCCTCCTCCTCCTCCTCCTCCTCCTCCTCCTCCTCCTCCTCCTCCTCCTGCATGACATGTTCTGTGCTGTCGCGCTTGTCCCAGTCACCCCTCGGTTGATATGCGGATATGGACTGACGACGTGTCTCAGTCTATAGCAGCATCGAGGGCCACTATCAGGAAAGTTGTGCGTCGAGTCTTGTGGCAGACTAGTTATCTGTTGGCTGAAGATGGGCTGGGAGTGGCAGCCAAGGCAGTCATTGTGTGCTCCAAGCTGCAGGACGCAGAGGTCATTGCTCGCCACCTCAAGCGCAAGGGCGTGACCATCATCCCTATCGCACAGGCGCCGTCCCTGGGTGCGGACCTGGGAGCTGGCCGCCATGCCCACGCCACTGCGCGCAAGAGGGCGGCCAAATCGAGGATGCTGACCACAGCATCGCTCGTTCCGCGAGGGCTTCGCTGAGGTACTCTTCGGCACTACGCTTAGAACAAGCAGGGGCGCAGCCAGCAGCCCACTACGGACATCAGACCCACGGCGTTCTCGGGAGCACGATGCAGGCCATGAGGCGCAAGCTAGGTCAGGTCGCTCCATCCGCTCGGCGAGGGCAGTGGCTCACCACGGTCCTAGACATAAGCTGCCCGAACATGGATCCTGCGTACGGGCTCCCAGTCACTTCAGTGCGACTTTGGCTACGCACTTGGCCGACGGAGCTGAAACTGCATCCGGGCATTCCTGGAGCTTGGTCTTCAGTCGTGACCAAGCCCACGTCTGCCCCCCTGTCTCTTCGTCCTCGACACGTTCGCAGCCCGAGTTCTGCTTAAGGGAGCTACCTCCGACAGTACGGTTGGGACCCTGTCGGCCCGACGGAGTGGGGAACCATGCCTGCAGGATCGGAAGGCCGAGAAGCGTTCATCTTCGACCAGCTCGGCCCCAGCGATGATGTGTCTAGTTTGGTGAACGAGCTGAGGATACCATCAGGCTTGCCCAGTGGAGGATCGCTGCCAATCACCACTGCGGCGAGGGCCTGCAAGACGGTGCAGACAATTTCTCGTACAGGCATTTCGTTAACTCTGGAGACTGCTCGTCATGGCCATCAATCAGCTTTCAGAACTCATGTGAGTATTGCGGCAGGAGGAGCCCGGACCAGGAAACGGGACCAGGAAACGGATCCGGAGTCGGTCGAGTGCCAGCATTGCCACGAGGCACCTGAGATCGATTTACAGAGTTCATGGCTTTGCAACTGTAATCGTGAGGCGTTTGCCTACACCCGATCCGATCAGTTGTTTAGCGGAGGCCATGGTACAGTCCGAGGCCTTCCCTTACTTCTGTAGACGAGCGCGTTCCACTACTCGCAAAGTAGCCACTTGCAAATGGCCTGGATGTGGTTGTCGGGCGTTTGGGAGTAGGCGCTTTGCGAGCAGGCGCTTTGCGAGTAGTGCAGCGCGCTCGGTGATTCTGGCTCCGAAGGATCATTCCCGCTAGCTGGGCCAGAGTCCCTCCCCCTCCGCTCGAGCTGTCTTGGACCCTCTCTGGTGCCTCAGAGTTGGGCCCCTCTGTGCTCGGTCAAGGCTCCCACGAGGTTCCCGTGCTCCTGCTAGGGGATGCCAGCGAGGGTAAGGAGTCTCGGGATGCTAGGCTTAGGCGTGTAGGGTTTGGCGTTTTGTTCGTTACAATATATACTCCCGTCCATAGTGGGGTCTCTATCCGAGGTCCGCTGACGGGGCCCAAGCAGTCGGTCCCGAGCTCGAAGCACGAAGCACTTGTATTAGGAGTTGCGTTTTCAGAGTTCACGGCTTTTGCGCACGATAGCGAGTCGGTCAGTGCAGGGTGGTACGGCAAAAGATACCTCACCTCGACTGGCGAGAAACAGTACCTGTGGTCGGAGCTTGGATCGCTCCGCTCATCCAGGGATTTCAATGAGAATGTCGTGCTGCAAGTGCCGTCCCACCTCTCTCCTGCTACGGCCATGTCGGGTCCTCATCCTCTTTGGCTGATTCACGGGAATGTGGCCGCTGACGAGCTGGCTGGCACCGCAGCCGACGAGAACATATTGCCCGAAAAATGTTAGTTTCACGATCTCCCAGCTCGAGCAGAAAGCCTGTCTTGTTCGAAAGAGGCTCCTCAGTGCTCACCTCGATGGTCGCCGATCGCAGGACCCCACCAACCAAGAAGGTCCGCCTGCCCCCCCACCTCCCCTGCAAGGTTTTCCCCTTGTGCGTCCCAACACCAGTTGTAGGAGGATGGTAGGAGTTGTGCTAAGTGCAAAGGGGGGCGGCGGAGTATGCCGCCACTGCGTTCCGCAAGTCCCCTCGTGTAGCTCTGACTTCTCATCACACTTCGGATGTATCAAGGTTGCCGAGGGGTCATGCATATTGGGAGCGGTCTCAAACATCCAAGTCACACCCTGTCATATCATAACACGTTGGGGCTCTAGCTTTGTTCGGAATGCGATCATTACGGGTCGGCTCAGCTCAGGCCTCTGGGTCACGAGCGCCAGGCATCTCCCACTCCCACCAAAGCCGAATACATCAAGCGTGTTCTCGAGGGCAAGTGGCCCAAGAGTTAGCCTCCTCCACTCTCTCATCCCTCCCTCCCTCCTCCCTCCCCTCTTCGCCCTCCCTACCCTTCTTCTTCCTCGCTTCTGCATGCGAGGCCTAACCCTGTTTTGGCTTGATCGGCCCTTGATGAGCCGTTTCTCGTGACGCATGGGAGTTGAGCGTCTTCTCGCCTGGCGTGGTGCTCGCTTGCGACATGCAGTGCCCTCCTCGTTTTGATGTGCAGGGACAACACATGAAGGGCAGCGAGCCCTGCGCTTCCTCCCACGCGCGCCAGCCCGTGCTGCCCCCGGCCGCCAGGAGGGGCCCACGGCCACGGTCAGATGAGGTCGGCGACGTTCATTGGCATCTCGTCGATCTGCGTGGAGTAGAACTGCTCGATGTCGCGGAGGATCCGGATGTCGTCGTTCTTCACGAAGTTGATCGCGACGCCTTTGCGGCCGAAGCGGCCGGATCGACCTGGGAGGAGCGCGCTTGCCAGGAGGGGGGCGGACGGAGGAGGAGGTCAGATCACACGCCAGGTGCGGCCTTGTAAGGGGATGAAACCTCACAAGTAAGGTTCATAGTATGAAGTGGCCGAAGAGATCATGCACGTGCACTCTGGTGCGCAGGAATTGCTGAACCCTCGCTTTGGCAAAGCGCTCATTTTTCTCGTGCAACTCTGATAGGCTGACGCTCGTGCAGTGAATTCTGATTCACATTAACCAGCTGATCAATGTATAACACGATCGATCAGATGGCCTCCACAAGGCGCTCGTATCGCCATGCACACATGCCGACAGCCAGTAGGAACGAAGAGGAAAGCAGAGGATCGACCGAGGAGGAGGAGGACGAGAAGGAGAAGGACAAACGAGGCGGGAGACAACCCATAGCTCCGACATCGTTTTTTTCACAATGTGGATCCCTGGGGATCTGGAACCCTTCTCTTGGACCGGATGTTCATCCTGGGTAGTTGTTTGATGGTCTTGGGGCCCGGGGAGGGCCCCTGGAAAACGAAAAGTGACTAAAACCTCCCGTCGTGATGTTTGTTCACAACTGCTTGGACCGGCACGGGAGTTTCTAAGGGGATAGGGGGGTTGTCTGTCATATCTTGTCTGGCCGAGTTTAGGAGCAGGCCAATCAAAATGGCCATAAACGGCTTGGGGGGTAACAGTGCAGGCTAAGTAGGCTCCGCCCACTGAACGGTTCAATCTGACCCACTAGACCACGGGGGGTCCTTGCCACCCACTTGCGAACTAGGTTAGCTCAGATCCACCCCAACTTGGCATCCTCTGATCACCTCCGTATCCCCTTAGCGACCCCCGCGCCGATCCAAGGAGACGCGATGGGGGACGGAGGAAGGGGAGGATCGGCGACTCCGCAGGGCGTGGTCTGCCAAGGGTGTGGTTTGCAACCCGCACCCGGGGAGGGCGGTCGGTGACCCCGACGGAGTTCTCCGCCGCGCCCCGAGGAGGCCCGACGAGGGCAGCGCGGCGCCCCCCAGGCCCCAACGACTCGGATCGCAAACCACACCCTGGCTTAGCCTTAAGTCAGGCCTGTCCTCCTACAGGGGGCATTTGGACGAACCACTAAAGAGAAAGTAAACATATACCCCAAATGCTAGACTGTGTTAAGCTATTTTGGAATATCCCTCCTGTAGAGGGACAGGCCCGCCTTAAGCTTAACCAAACCCTTTGTAGTCTGTAGTCGCCGAGAGGAGGGCCGATGCGGTGTATGTAGAGCTCCCGGTTGTTCGGGAGGTCGTAGCAGATCACCAGCGACACCTGCTGCACGTCGAGCCCGCGGCCCCAGAGGTCGGTGGAGATCAGCACGCGGCTGGAGCCCGAGCGGAACTGCTGCATGATGGCGTCTCGCTCCTCTCGGATCGTATCCAGGTATCCGAAGACATGAGCTGATGCACCCTGGCGATGCTCCCAGATTTCTGCGTCGGGGGCCCGTCATCGGGCCCCGCGGCCACGAAAAATGTATCCAGGACGCGAAACTGTCCCTGGGGAAGGAGTCGGGAGCTCTTAGGGCAGCGAATGGAAACTCATGTTGGGGCATGTCTGGGTAAGCACGCAGAGAATACGGTCGGGAACTTTCGCTTGGTGTGTCGCGTCCACAGCCCTGGCGACACGCTATGCCCTGCGAGCTGGTAGTGTGTCGCTCCGCTCCGCGGGGCGGGAGGCTGGGAGCAGCTCGGGACGTTGACGCCAGGGAATGGGGACGTGGATAACGTGTCGCGCCGAAGCGTGGTAGGCCAGCGGCGCGACACGCTAAGCACACCCTCCTGACAATGAGCTTGTGGAGGCCCGCGCGGATTTGTTTGGGATCGTGACTGGACCCTCCTCCCCCGGTGCGCGGAGCGCGCCGCGGGCGCCGCCAGGAGGGCGGGGTGCCGGCGGCGACGATAGGGGCGAATAGCCCAGGGGCGGGCATTACAGTCGGGGCCCTGAAGAAGGAACCCTTTTGGTTGGGGAGGGGCTCCGCGTTCCTTAAGTGTTTCACAGTTTGCCCAACGTTTTCCTGAAGTTTTGGTGGCAAGTCGAAGGTTAACTTATGAAAGAAAAGGGGGGCCCGTTCCTTATTTAGGGTTCCTTAGGTCAACGCCCCGACTGTACACGCATTCGCCCGGGAGCATCTTCGAAGACACAGACCGTCGGCGCACCCGAATACGTGCACTGCCCTCCCCTGGGCCAGTCGCCCCTCTCGTCGCCTCCGAGGGCGGGCGGGTGCGGCTGCGCGGTCCTCTGGCCACGCTGCTGTCGATGCGTGCCCGCTGCGCTGCTCCTCGATCCTCCCCGGGCACGCCTCTGCGGCTGGCCCCGGGCCAGGCTCGCCTGCCGTTTTGCCCCTCGATGTACCGTCGGGGCCTTGACCTAAGGAACCCTAAATAAGGAACGAGGCCCCTTTCTTCCATAAGTTAAACTTCGATTCCCCATCGAAAACATAAGGAAAACTTGAGGCAAGCTGCGAAACACTTAAGGAACGCGGAGCCCCTCCCCAACGAAAAGGGTTCCTTCCCCAAGACCCCTACTGTATGCTGCTCCCCTCGCGCTTCAGGACCACGTCACAGAAAAAATTCGAGCACCCAGAAGAGTGTCGAAAGAGCGTCGAAGCAGTGTCGGGCGAGTGTCTCCCAGGGCCCGACACGTGAAAACCCTCGAGCTTCGGTGCCTTTCTAGTGCTCGAGATTCTTTCTGGCGATCAAGGCTAAAGTAAGTTAAAACATTAAAACCCGCCGTTTTGGAGGCCTGGAGATTGACACCAACACCAAGACGGGGGGCTGCCTCCACAAGGGGGAGATGATCCCAGATTTCGGTGTTGGTGGCAATATTTCGGCCGCCTTGGAAGCCAGAAGATTACCACCATCACCGAGATAGGGATCTTCTTCCCTCGGTGGAGGAACACCGCCGATATCGGTGCTGGTGTCAACCTCTAGGCCTGCGAGGTTTGCCCCCCGATCCTTCTGGGGCATGTCTCCGTGGATGGCGGCCACCGTGAAGTTGGCGTCGCGCATCTTCTGCGTGAGCCAGTCCACCTTCTGCTTCGTGTTGCAGAAGACCCGCGGGGCCCCTCCCCGAGGCGGCCGAGGAAGCCCGTGGTGGCAGCGCGGCTCTCAGGGGTAGCGTTTAGGTCGGGCATGTCCTCCTGCAGGCGGACTTTGAGGACCAAAGCAAAAAAGTCCTACATGACACGCAAACATAAAGAAGAGGAGTCGAAGCATCGTCCCCGGAGCATGTTTTGACTACTTGGGATTATTCCTCCTGTAGAGGGACATGCCCGACCTAAGGGCAGCGCTCTGCCGCGCGGGGGCCTCCAGGCGCACGAGGAGGCGCACCGCCCGAGGCCGACGCGTGCCCTGCCGGCACGCTGCGAGCCCTTCGCGGGCCCCTTCCCCGCAGACCCGCTGGCCAGCTCCGCCCGGGGAGGCGTTCCGCCGCTTCTGCCGGCGGCGGCGGCGGCGAGGACCGCAGGGGCGGCTGCTCGACAAGGATACTCCAGATTTCGTAATAAAGGGAGGGGGGTCTCATTTCGGGGGGGGTCTCTTCCAGGCTATCTTGGAGGGCCTGGGGGGGTCTGGGGACGATGTTTGGGAGGGTTCTCCCACGAGGGGGGGGTCTGAAATGGCTTGTCTTGGAGGGTCCAGACCCCCTCCCTTTTATTACGAAATCTGGAGTAACGACGATAAGAATGGCAGCAATGCTAACAACGCTAACATCGTGGTTAGCGTTGGCATCATATGCGCGCTCGCCCTCGGGGCGGGCCAGCAGGCCCCCGCAGGAGGAGCCAAAAGGAACACCGGAGGCCTCTTCCTCCTCCTG